GTTGGCAGCGCGCCAAACCTGCGATCGGCATGGCTGGCTAGGTACGGTGCGAAAGGAGTTCAGCATGCATACATACAAGTACACTTTGAGTCATCACGCGCCACCGATGCCATTCATCCGGGTGCCGGGTATCAAAGCCGTCGTCGGTGTAATGCGCCGCCCACTGCCTCCACCCCTCAAAATCTCAGAGCCGGGATGAAAACACGACGGATGTTGCAAAGGGATGCGCTCACACCCGTTATCCCCGGTGACACTTGCACACGGGGACTAAGTCTCACACGCGCACAAAAGAGTATGGAAAATTCCTCGTGTTCAGTGGTGGTGTGCGGCGGGGGGTGAGTGGGAAGGAGGAGCGGGTTTACGTTATCTTGAATTCCCACGCGGTTATAACCGATCCTGGTGCACGCGTGTTGACGCTTGTGCTGTGCGTGCCAGTGGCACAACGCGGTTGGCATAGGTCCTGATGCAATGAATGGAATGGGGGTCCCTTGTTCAATTTCCTCAGCTTCTCGTACCACACGTCACCTATTATTACTGCGAAATACCACCCACCACTGCCACACAGCAGCCAACACTACCACACAGCAGCCAACACTACCACATAGCAGCCAACACTACCACACAACAGCCACCACTACGACACAGCAGCCACCACTACCACACAACAGCCACCACTACCACACAGCAGCCACCACTACGACACAGTAGCCACCACTACCACACAACAGCCACCACTACCACACAGCAGGCAACACTACGACACAGCGCCACCACTACCACACAACAGCCAACACTACCACACAGCAGCCACCACTACCACACAACAGCCACCACGTCCACACAACAGCCAACACTACCACACAGCAGCTACCACTACCACACAACAGCCACCACTACCACACAACAGCCACCACTACCACACAACAGCCACCACGACCACACACCAGCCACCACGTCCACACAACAGCCACCACTACCACACAACAGCCACCACTACCACACAGCAGCCACCACACCACACAGCAGCCAACACTACCACACAGCAGCCACCACTACCACACAGCAGCCACCACGACCACACAACAGCCACCACTACCACACAGCAGGCAACACTACCACACAGCAGCCACCACTACGACACAGCAGCCACCACTACCACACAGCAGCCAACACTACCACACAGCAGCCAACACTACCACACAACAGCCACCACTACCACACAACAGCCAACACTACCACACAACAGCCACCACTACCACACACCACTACTTCACACAGTGGCGAGGTTGGTATGGGTCCTGGTGAAAATAATTAAATGCACGCAACCCCCTCCCCCATCCCTCCACCGAGTCTATGTCCTCTGGTACCTGGGCAGCCCCCCCACCGCCCTCCCCCTCCCCCCGCACTTCGTGGCGCAGTTGCACCGCCTGCACACTCGATAGCGTAGCGAATTAATTTGCAAGCCACCGCACATCAGGGATGGCGCGTGGCTCCCGCTTGCTGTCAATCGGCGGAGTAGGGGGGTGAGGTGGTGGGGGGTGGGGCGCTGTAATGGTGAAACTGTTACGATCCATCCCTTCCCTACTCGCCGATGAGTACCGCACGCAATAGACCTCGCGTAGCGACGGCATCGGAGAGACGAGATCGATGTACGCGTTGTGCGCGCGTGTTCCGTGCATTGTCCCGAGTTGCACACACGCGGAGAGAGAGAGAGAGGACGCAGGGAATGGGGAAAATTGAGATGAAATGTCTGGATGGTTCTCTGTCGCCGTTCGAGATTCATCTTTGGTCTCGTTCATCAAAAGTCGTAGTGATTCCGCAACATTGAAGCTGTTATCATCTCCTGTTTACAACCTTAGCCCGTGGTGTAAATTACACATTCCTATGACGGGGGGTGGGGGGGGCGTGAGGTGTTGGGAGGTATATCCACTGTGACACCATTTTGATTGAAAGCTTTCGTGACTGCAGGAATTCATATTCTTGGTTCTTTCGGTAAAGTCACGTGACTTTACCGAAAGAACCAAGACTATGTGACACCATTGTTGAATGACTCACAAGGTGGTGCTCGTTGTATCGACCCCCCCCCCCCCCACTGGAGGGATGATAGGCCGAGTCAATCCCCCAAGGCCAAATGTAACATTTGCATATCATTGAGGTGCTATTTGCATTCATCGTTAATAATTGATTCTGGGGATCGAATTTAATTGGCGGATCGATACAATGTCTACTAGGCACGTGTTTGCCGCGTACTGCAACAGGAGTAACTCGCGCGTACGCACAGGGTAGGCGAAACGCGTGAACATTGCGTGGACTCAGAGGTGGCCGGGTGGCACTACAGAAAGTGGGTTGACGATCCACCTTGGCGCGTGCCACTTACGCGCTATCGCCTCTTAAGTTAAACAAAAAATAAACCGCATTAACGGAGGAGGATGCCTCGCGTGCGTCGGCGTTCAACGTCTCGGTCCACGAATGAGAAGGAGGTTTATTGGTCGCAATTTGACAAATTCATCGGCACTTATAAATAATAATCGTGAATACTCAAAATATTCTTGTAATCGTGACATTCCGGTCGGGTGGTGGAGGGGTCACTGACAAAAATGTTGGCGTAAATTAACAGGCTGGTAGGTATCTCTGCGTGCTCTGAAGAAGGGGCAATTGCCCGAAACGCCCCCTCAAATGTAAACAAAAAATATTACTGCTCTCACCACAGAATGCTGCTGTTGTTGTTGACGAACGTGTTGACTTGTTGTTGTTTGTGCGTGTGCACCACCTGGCAAGGCAGCAGCAGCACTAAATCATTAGATGCATGTCGGTCATTATGTATATTACAGGTCGAAAGGCAGCGGTGGTACAGTGGTTAACCCACTCCGCTGAAACCCCAACGACCTCAGTTCAATTTCAATCCATGGTGAACATCGTCGCTGGTGATATATGCCAACCGGTCTTGGGCCTGCCTGCTCACCCCATACCCCTCTCTCTCTCCCTACCTCCTCCACGAATCCTCAATGGCCAGGGTGGCGAAGTTATTTAAATACATTAAAGAAGCATCATGACGTCACCATCAAGATCATTTATGTAAACATTACGTCCGCCTCCAAACGAGCTCTACCCCGCTCGCGGAACCAAGCTCTCATCTAAGCCTTCCGCGTTTAGAACGTCCCTGGCCACAACGTGCGGGCTAAAATCCCCCTATTTCGCATTGTCATATTTTTCTACAAACGTGGAATGCGGACGAAGTTGTCAAGGTTGATGTCACGAGCCGTCACTACGGCACGCGCGAGCGAGCGAGCGCGCGCGCCCGCACGCACGCGCACAACAGCGGCCGTTCGTTTAAGTGATCTCCGAGAGGCCTGCTAATGGCAACATTTCATAAATTATTGACATTTGTGCGAGAGCAAATAAATAAATAATCGCTGAAATGAAGGTCGCTCGTTATATTGCGGTGGGGAGAGGAGGATGGAGGAGGAGGCGAGATGCGAGGCGGAGGGGGCAAAGCGAAGGCCGTTATCTTGCCAAAGGTGCTGAAGGGTGTCAAGGCCGAGGAATACAACGCGCGGACGAGCGCGAGAGAGAGGCAGGCAAACACAAAGACCGCCAGGCGGACACACAGGCAGACACATCAGCATACAGGCGGGGGAAAACAGACAGACAGGCAGGCAGTCAACCGACAGACTGACATGCTAACAGGCAGGCAGGGTTAACAGACAGAGAGAGATTGTCTGACAGACATGCAGACAGTCAGTAGATTTGATAGGCAGACCCAGGCTGACGAACATACCTGTAGGTAGGCAAGCGACCGTACAGGCAGACGTACGCACTGACAGACAGAGAGTTAGACGGACAACGCAATAGACCCGCAGACAAGCAGATCGGCAGACATACAACTCAGCAGAAAGACGGGAAAACAGACACGCGGACCGACAGGCAGACAGGTAGTCATACGTACAGGTAGCCGGACGTGTAAGCACACAAGCAGGTTGAACAGACTCACAGAGAGCATCACAGGCGCGCCGCCGACAGACAGGCAGGCAGACAGACGGTCAGGCAGACAGGCAGACATCTCAGGCGCCGTGGCAAAGCCGCGCTCAAAGTCTCCAGGGGTGGGAGGGGCGCCTAGGGGAGCGGCGGCCGATCTCGTTGCCGGCTACGGCTGCCGACTTCTCGTGGTGCCGGTGGCGGCTGTGGAACGGCTTCGCTTCCCCTAGCGCGCCACGGCGCCCGTGTGCGATGTCATCCTGCACACGTGAGGCTGCCCGTCTCCGTGCGAGTGCGCACCGCGCTAATGAACCACCACCCCCCCCACCACCTCCACTCACCGGAGTTCGATTCCCGCTCGCGGTCAATAACGCTGCCGAATATCTGAACCGGTCCCGGGCCTCCCTTAGGTCGACTCAGCCTCAAATGAGTACCTGGTGCGGTGTGTAAACATTGTCACTGGAGAGACAAAGGCGGTCGGGCGTGGTGCTGGCCACCCACCCCCTCGTGTACCGTTCCGGCCTTCATAGGTGCCCGCTAACAGCACTTGTCCATATCAGCCGAGTCTATACGGAAGATCGCGTTGGCAATCAAAGTGTACCTAGCCTGGCACAAGCGCTGTGGTGTCCGTTATGCATTTGTATCCGAGTTGAATTACCTCTGCCTGTGTGCGCACCGCGGACCACTGCACCACAGCTCCACATCGATTTATTAGTTTGTGATAGTCAACAGAATTACCTGCTCAACGCTCATGCTATTGTTATCTCTGCTCCTCGCCCCCCACATCATTTTGTCACTCTGCCCCCCACTTCCACTCCCCATCGTTCCTCGCCCCCCGCATATTTTGCCACCCTTCCGCCGACCTCCATCCACCACACTCCCTCCCGCACACATCTGTTGCCATCCCACATTTCCTCCACCATCCCCCCCTCTCACCCCGACGGACCCTCTCTCTCTCCCCCTCCCCTATCCATCCACGCTACTCCCCAACCGCACCACCCCACCGCCCTCCCGCGACCGTAAAGGGAACGCAGGAGCCCCCGCTGCCCCCCGAGCCCATGGCGCACCCGTACCCGTCGGGACAGTTCGCGGCGCCGTCCCAGAACGGCGTCCCCGCCGACTACGGAGCGGCTCCGCCACCGCCGCCGCACGCGGCGCTCCCCCACGGCGTCGTGCCGGACTACGGCTCCGGTCAGCCCGGCGGAGGCGTCGCGCCTCCATCCGACCACGACGTGGCCGCCGCCCTCTACACGGCGTCGGCGGCCGCGCAGCCGCCCCCGGCGTCGCATCACCACCACCACCACCATCAGCAGCAGCAGCACCATCAGCAGCAGCAGCAGCAGACGGCGCAGAGCAGCGGCACGGTCACGGTGAGAGAGGAGGAGGGAGGAGAAGGGAGGAGTTGGGAGAGGTGGAGAAGAGGTGGGAGGGGTAGGGAGGAGGTCACGGTGTCCGCGAGAGATGAGTGCGGAGGTCACGCCGCGTAGCGTCCGCTCGCTGCTCCAAGGACCACGAGGGGCAAAAGCCAGCGGTCATCAGCTGCCACCGACTCAGAAACACAAAAAAAAAGACCCACCCCCCCCCCCCCCCCCGTTTAGCCTGAACAGATTGTTGGGGCAAGTGCTGTTAGCGAGCACGGATGAAGGCTGGTACGACACACGAGGGGGTGGGTAGCTGGCACCACGCCCGACCGCCTTTGTCTCCCTCGTGGCGATGGTTAACATCACACCGGGTCCTCATTTGAGGCCCCGTCGACCTAGGGGATGCCCGGGACCGATTCAGATATTAGTCTATGGCTCTCTGTGCAAGTCTGTGGCTTTATGTGTGAGTCTATGGCTCTCTGCGCGAGTCTATCTATGCCATACGTAACCACGCCGTTTAATAGTGTAGGCATTATGTCACGTGTACCATGTTTTCAAGTAATTTTCACTGTGAAAAAAGTACATGCAAATTTATGCATTGGCCAATAACGCTGTGCCTTTAAAAAGAAAACATATTTAGGAAATGGCTCTTCTCCAGAGCACTCGTGAATGACTCACGTTGCTAATCAGTTCGTTTAGTTCGTTGTGCTTTTGCGCCACTGGCAACGCAGTGCCACCGAACAATTTGTTTAGAAAGGTAAGAATGACTCGTACAGGGGCACGTCATGTTTAGACGGGATGACGGTCGAGTCTAACCACGGAGTGTAAGCCAAAGGAGAGAACACACCCGAGAAAAATCACGTCCATCGTGGAGACGGAGCGATGAAATCAACTCGCGTGCACTGTGGCTGCTGTGTGGATGGTTGCGTCGCAGAACCGCGAGAGATGCCAACGGCTGTGGGGGGGGGAGGCAGGTTGGGTGGTAAGCTGTCATCCAGCAGTGGATCGATCATGGCTGCTGCTGCTTCTGCTGACAGTCACGTGTGTGCTGTCTGTCTTTCCTTGCGCGTGGTAAATTGGTGAATGTCGTGCCATCGTTGCTACGCTACGATCCATGCGCACGCGTCCGTTGGCACGTGGCCGCCTCTCGCGGAGTCGATCAAAGCGACGCCCTCCGCCCCGGGGTGGCCCAGGCACCCGCGCAATCGCGCCTCCGCATAGCACTGTTCAGCGACGTACGGTGCGATAGAAGTTCAGCATGCATGCGTAACTCGCACGGCTTGGGGAGGTCCTCATCCAGCAGTGGATTCGGCGACAGGGCCGCAACTGTGTTCCACAAGGGACACGCTGCGCGTCGATGAATCGATCAGCATCGACGATGACACTCACCGCAACGCCGCGCTCGATGGCGCCTGTCGAGCGTCGGGCGCGTTGGGTCGCATCGCCACGGCTACGCTCGACGATCCCTGCAGTTCTCGGGGCTCGTTGTCAGGAGGGTCCTGCCAAGTGTGTCGCGGTAGCGAGGGGGTGCTATGCTGCGTGTGCGCGTGTGTGCGTGTGATCCAAAGTTGCGTGATGATTTGCAGGTGGCTTTACAGCGTCGGAATGCTTGGGACAATCCCAGCGACATTGCATTGTATTAGCTGTGGGAGGAAACCTGATACCCCGGAGGAAACCCAGACAGAACAAGGAGAGAACATACGTACATGCGTACACACAAACATACAGACAAACAGGGGTAGAACATACAAACTCCACACGTAGAAAGCCCCCCCCCCCCGAGTTGGGAGTCGAACCCGGGTGACTTGTGGCTGTGAGGCACAAGTGTCAACACCCGCGCTGACGCCCGCCCCGCCCTGCCGAATCATCCCGGCAGACACTAGAGGCGCTACCATTCACCACCAAATCGTGACTGCAGGAATTCATATTCTTTGGGTCTTTCGGTAAAGTCACGTAGATAGGTTCAAAGAAAATAACAAACTAAAAACTAGGACGTTTCGATCGCAACACACGCGGTGGTCATCAGGAAAAGGATGACGGCCGCTTGTGTTGCGATCGAAACGTTCTAGTTTTTTGTTTGTTATTTTCTTTGAACCTATCTACGTGACTTTACCGAACGAAACAAAGAATAACATTGACAACTCGTCAACACATTGCAGAATTCTTGCGATGCTGCTGCTGCCTTGGCAGTTGTGCACAAGCACACGTGACAGGAAAACGTTGATAATCGGCGACGTTTCAGGTCATGACCCCTTCTTCATCGCATATAAAGTTGTTTTAACCGCAATATTAGATATATATTTTTTTTAAATCGACTCGCAAAATAGGCATCTTTACAATGCAATGGAACGGATCAGTCCACCGCTCAAACGCTCGTCAAGCAAACGCGACTGCTGCCGAGATGTTATAAACGCGTTCACGCAACAACAACAACGTCAGCGGACTTCTCGGTCACTTCATTAGGTCATAAAAGGGTGCCCAGCGTCAATGTTGATCGCAGCTCCGCGTTCGCGAGGCGGCGCGCCCCCTACACACGCGCAAGAGGAGAGCCTCCCCACCGAGATCCACTCGCGAATGGAATATGTGGCTGGAGCGAGTGGAGCGGTGGGTGGCGCAGTGGTTGACGCACTGCGCTGTGAAACCCGGCTCAGTCCTACGGTATTCACCGGATCATTAAGACGCCCCCCCCCCCCGCCATTGCCCCCAACCCCCCCCCCCCCCCCCCGATGGTGCGTCTTACTTTCCGGACAATACGGCGGCTAGCATCAGTGGCGAATTGATATCTGAACCAGTTCTGCCGCGCTCCTTCCCGCTCCCCCCCCCCGTCCTCCCGCCCCCCCCCCTATTTTACTAATCCGCATTGACCAAAGTGGTGAAGTATGATCAAGCAAATCCCCATTACCGACACGGCACCGAGGGGCTTTTGTCCAGCAGTGGATCTACGACAAACAAAGGGCAGTGGGTTTATTGTTTGGCTTCAGAAGGGATGCTGCTGCTGCTGCTGCTGTGTAACGGGCATCAAGCTGGACTCGCTATCCAGAGGTCTGCCGGTTCCATCTCTCTTGATTAAACTGAGCACATTTCTTAAATCCGCCGCCTCCTCCCCCGCCTCTGTCCACCCAGCAGTTGGAATGGACCACACAGCACTCGATCTATCAGTTGCTTGCGTGCGGTGGGGTACATTCTGGATAGGTATACCCCCCCCCCCCCCACCTCTTTCAAAGATATATGACTCGCGAATGGAAGAATAGACCAAATACCTTCTGGCGGCATTTCCACCAGCAAATGCCGTGAGCAAGCAGCGAAGAAAAAAATTGCAGGGGCCGTGCCTTTGTTTTGTTTATTATTTTTTCACATTTAATTTGTATACAGAGTCCAGATGCAAATGCATTCCCCCAAGCGCCGTACCAATATACACGCGCATCGGAGGGGGCCCATATATCCACACTGCCCGCGCTGATGCCACAATCCATCTCGCTTCGTCCCACACGCCTGAGCTATTCATATCGCTCCGTCTCAACGGTGGGAGTCGTCCTCTGGCGCGCGTTCTCAACTCTGACCGTTCCATCACCGTTCCTTGCCCATCGGCCAACCACCACCACCATCATCATCATCCATCCTCATTGCCGCGGTGTGTCCTGTGCCAGCCCCCCCCCCCCCCCCCAGCCCCCTTAACGGTACTCTTATTAACGGGCGATATGATTCAGCTAACGTGCGTTTGTCCTCCGATCCCCGTGTGCTTCCTCTGTAATTTAGAGATGACAAAGGTCATACATTAGTGCTGTTTTGAAATGTGTACCATTCTTACCGTCATGACCGGTGGGTTTAGTTGTAGTTATGGGTGGTTTAGTGGAAGTGTTGGGTGGTTTAGTAGTGATGATAAGTGGTTGAGTGGAAGTGATGGGTGGTTTAGTGGTAGTTACGGGTGGTTTAGTTTTAATGTTAGGTGGTTTAGTGGTAGTTGCAGGTGATTTAGTTGAAATGTTAGGTGGTTTAGTGATAGTGATGGGTGGCTTAGTGGTAGTGATAAGTGGTTGATTGGAAGTGATGGGTGGTTTAGTGGTAGTTACAGGTGGTTTAGTGGTAATATTAGGTGGTTTAATGAGAGTGATGGGTGGTTTAATGATAGTGATGGGTGGTTTAGTGGTAGTGATGGGCGGTTTAGTGTTAGTGGATGGTTGTTCAAATGGCAATCCTATTGCATAATGGGAGTGGTGGGTGGTTGACTGGCAGTGCTGGTTGGTGTTGTAGTACTTTACAGGGGTCTCGTCTCCATCCTTGAACACATCGTTTGTCGACCTTTCTTTGGTGGTGGCTCAGGGAGGTTGACGGATCGCCTCGTAGACGCAAACGTCGTCAACAAGACCTGTCTTGTGGGTTCACCGCGGGGGACGCTGGCCTCAGAGAGGACCCTCTGAATTATTTGATGCCCATTCAACAAGGGGCACAGCGCGGTTGGCACGGTCTCTCGTGCAGGGAATGGAACGGGTGGCCCCTGCCCGATCTACCCCCACCCCGCTCTTCCTACAGCGATCCCGAGGCCCCCGTGGGCCGCGGTGCAGTTGCACTGCCTGCGCTACCCTACCCCATCGCTGCGCCGCTGCCGTTTAACCTGCGGCGGTGGCGATCACCCGACGCTGGTGACCTTTTTGCCGAATAATGGTCAGATTTAACAGAGCCCAGGAAAGTTTCGCCGATGTAATTAACGCGGATTAAATTATTGTAATAATAAACGCCCTCCCATCTCGGTTCACGTTTGCATTTTTGTTTTGAGTGCACAGCGTTCGCTTAAGTTTATTTTTTTTTCCATCTCCATCTGCCAGCGGAAACATTTTAATTGAATCACGTTTAGTAAGAGATAAGAAGTGTGTGAGAGAGAGAGACAGGGAGAAATTAGATGGGGGTCAGCGGTGTTGGTGGCTTCCCGGTTAATTTGCGGAATTAAATTTGAAACGGCCAGGCTGAATCTAGGCCATCTTGAGATGAAACGCTAGGAGTCATCTGTCACT